GGCCTTGGGCTTTACTCTTCTCATCCCACAGAAAAGAGGGCCCTGTAAAGGGAGCAGCAAGCTATCACTCTGCATTTGGGGGAAGGCTTGAAGAGGGGAGCCTGCCTTCACTCCCTGGTTGGGGCTTGCTGTGACACCTCAACAGCTGCAGCCCCAAACTAGGCTGTGTTGAGAGAGGTTGTGGGGAACTTGACACATGTCCTAAGCTTAGGGTGTACTAGAAAGACTGCAGCCTGTGTGCTGCCTTTGGTGACAGCAGGCAACACCAGGAAGGCTAGAAAGGAGTGGCCTGTACTGCCAGCATGCAACACAGACATTGAGGTTGGAAGAATTTTCTGTCAGCACTTTTAATACCTCATTCCATTATCTTCTTGCTTCCATTGTTTCTGTTGAAAAGTCTACCGTCAGTTTTGTAGTTGTTTCCCAGCTGAAGGTAATAAATCAATTCTTGTTTCTTGATTCTTGTTACACTTTTGCTTCCAGCAGTTTCGCTATGATGTTCCTTTGTACACTTTTCGTTGTTTGTGTCCTACTTCAATTTCCTACAGCTTCTTGAATCTATCTATGACTTCTGTCTTCCATCAGGTTTTGAAAATTCTGAGCCAATATCGTTTCAAATGTTGCTTGTCATCATTCTCTAATCTCCATCATTCTCTGTTTTCTTTCCTTTCTGGGATTGCAATCATGCGTATGTCCCATATATTTCACGTAGTCAGTGTTTTTTTGTTTTGCTTTTGTTTTTTTTCAGTTACACTGACCCAACTTGGAGTCCTGGGGTGGCGCTGTAGGATCAGCATTGGACCTCAAGGTCAGTTTGAACCACAAGTCAGAGGTTCAAACTCACCACCTGCTTCTCAGAAACCCTGTACAGGGTTGCTATGAGTCAAACAGTTGGTCACTTATGGATTTATTTCTACTGTTTATGTGGTCCTCTTTAATGCTACACCAGGTGATTCTGGAACAAATGCTGGTCATTGTGTTTTAAAAAACAAAAAACAGCGTCTCACGGCTCTGAGTTATGAGTTCCCTCATTCAGAGATAATTTAATTTTCTTTTGTTGAGCCCTGGGATGGCACTGTAGGATAAGGCTGAACTGGTAATCACAAGATCAGCAATTCAAACCCACCAGCTGCTGCTCACTGCTCAGAAATCCTACGCAGGGTTGCTATGAGTTGGAACTGACTCAACTGCACTTGACGGCAACAACGTCTGTTGATCTCACAGAAAACAGTGCCTTTTCCGTGTGCAGTGTCAGTATCAGCAGAGGACCGAGGTGGGCACACAGCCTCCACTGTTATGCAGCCTGGCCAGCTCCTTTTCCTCATCCTCACCCACGTAACAGGAGTTATGTTTCAGACTGTCTGGGGGCCCCCAACATGGTGGGACATTTGGTGGGAGTTAGGTCTCCATGGCTTCCATCACTCATGCTCTAGCCCAAGAATGGCTCTGGAGGGCCAGGCTCTAGACAGGGGCTCTTTGTGCAGTGGGCCCCGTGGCTCCACCTCCCTCCTCTGTACAGGGTGAAGGGAGTCCTGGATGCTTCTCAGTGCTGCTTCCAGATCTGGATTCTATGGTCCAGAGGAAAGTGCTGAACTCAAGGCACCTCAGAGGTCCTGAGGGGCAGCAACAGCATTTGGGGGAGCAAGGGGTAGACATGGCTACTCTCTTTTAAAATGGAGCCTTTTCCTAGTTCCTCAGCTTACAGGTCAACAGGCTCTGGTGATGAAAGGAAACTCACCTAGGGATGCACCCAGGTGGACATAGGAGCAAAAAGGCTGGTAGTTTCCAATTTGCCAAACTAGGAATCACTCCACGCTTTACCAATGCAAAAGGGAGCAAGCTAATATGTATCCGATTTGCCCACAACTCTTTAATGATTAAATTTGGCAAATCAAGTGTCCAAGTAGGTCCAAGTGTTCCATAGTCCACCACCCTCTGGGGTTTTGCCCTCAGGAGGCACGCAGGGATGCCCACACAGGGTCCCTCCCCAGACCTGTACCTACAGACCCAGTCAACTTTTGTGCAGGATCCAGGAGACGCAAAAAGTCACCTTTGGGAGCAGTTCCTGTATGCAGGGCGACCCCTTGTGAGAAACGTTGTCCATACTGACAAACGCTCAAGTAATCCGATCTTACTCATTTTAGGGAGAGTGAGATTTTCTTTATTGGATTTTGCAAAATTGGATGCCGAACCCAGTAGACAAGGGCAGGCCCACGGCGTGGCCAGCCCACAAACAGTTTTATTCCCCTGTCTTTAAAAAACCTCTCCTACAGTTCCAGTTCCCCATTCACAATTCTACCAGCATATCCTGTTTCCCCTCCCCCCAGAGAAGCCCAAATGGCTCACCCATGGTCTTAATGACTGTATTCTTAGTTAAAGTTCCTAGTCCTAGAACAGGTTTCTTTCCTCCCTTCCCCCAATTCATCCTGCTTACGTGTCCCTGGATATAAGTCAACAATCTGTCTGGCTGGTCTAGCAATCCCATGAGCCCTTTATAGTTCTGAAGGTGGACCATCTTGAGAATTTCTCACACCCTGGGAAGCAATACCAAGATTAGGACAGAGTTCTTACAGAAGAATGGGGAACAGGAGTCTCCAGACCTTGCTTGATAATGATCCCGCTACATGCCCATACCGAGGAAAGGAAGGAGGTGTCGTAGCATTATCTGCAGAAAATAGTGCCTAGGACAATTCAGTTCAAATTGCTGACCGATTGATCTTCATAGCTGGCAATGAAGAAACAGAGGCTGGCAGAAACTGCTCAGTGGCCTTCAAGCCGTGCCCAGAACATAAGCCAGGCCTGCCATAGAGAGAAGGAGGCAGGTGCCACAGGGCTCAGGTGTAGCCCCAGCGTGTCTCGCTTTGGGTTAGAAACTGGGTTCCTTCCTGTGCCAAGTTCTCAGGATCCTTCCCAGGAGCCCCTGATTGTCACAGACACAGTTGGCTCACCTGTCACCTGGAACACACCTGAAAGCATAGACACTCCAAAGCTGAGCAGCAGCAGGTGGCTGGTTCTTGTCTCGGGGTACACTCTCCCCACAGAACTGCACCTATGGTTCCCCACATCTTTTAATGAAAAATTCCAAACACAACAAAGTTGAAGGCATTGGACAGTAAGCCCTTATGCCCCCACAAAGATCTGTAACTGTCCTGAGAACTACATCAGCCCCCTCACTTCTGCCTCACCCCAGACACCCTCCCTCTCTCCACCACCTTCTCTCCGCTCATCTACGTGCAGTTCACAGTGCAGTGGGGGCACCAGGCTATTCACCCCAAACAGTTCAAGTTTTGTTTACATTTTTACAGTAAAATATGTATACATTAAAATGCATGTGTCGGTCTTTCGTCTCAGTCTCGAGCTGTAGCTGGTAGCCAAGCGTGCGCGCTCCAGCGTCTTCAGAACCTGGCCACCATCAATGTCGTTTGGATTCCTGTAGTCTTATCTACGCCACTCTTCGCCACTCGTCCTCCACATCCTTCGCCGTCCCCAGCCGCCATCATGGTGAAGCTCGCGAAAGCCGGGAAAAATCAAAGTGATTCCAAGAAGCTGGCTCCTCCACCCAAAGAGGTAGAAGAAGACAGTGACGATGAGGAACTGTCAGAAGATGAAGAAGAAAACAGTGGAGAAGAAGTTGTCATTCCTCAGAAAAATGGCAAGAAGAATATCACACTGCCATCAAAGAAGGTGGTGGTTTCCCCCCAAAAAAGGTAGTTGCCACACCATCCAAGAAAGCAGCTGTCACCTCTGGCAAGAAGGCAGCTGCTACCCCAGCTAAGAAGACAGTTACAGCAGCCAAAGCAGCACCAACACCTGGCAAGAAGGGAGCCACCCCAGGTAAAGCAGTGGTGGTGACCTCGGGTAAGAAGGGAGCTGCTCCTCCAGCCAAGGGGGCAAAGAATGGCAAGAATGCCAAGAAGGAAGAGAGTGATGAAGAAGATGATGAAGACAGTGAGGAAGATGATGAGGATGAGGATGAATTTGAGCCAATCATGACGAAAGGAGCAGCTGCCCCTCACTTTGATGACGAGGGGGATGATGAGGAGGAGGAGGAGGATGACGATGAGGAGGATGAAGAAGATGATTCTGAAGACGAGGCCATGGACACTACACCAGCAAAGGGCAAGAAAGCACCTGCAAAGGTGGTTCCTGTGAAAGCCAAGAGTGTGGCTGAGGACGACGA